ACCTCGTGTACTTCCGTCCGCGCCTCTGCACCTGTCTCTGTGCCTGCCTCCGCACCTGTCTCCATGCCTGTTTCTGTGTCTGTCTCTGTGCCTACCGTCCCCGCCTCTGCATCTGTCTCTGTGCTTGCCTCCGCACCTGTCTCCATATGCCTGTTTCTGTGTCTGTCTCCGTGCCTAACTCCATGTCTGTCACCGTGCCTGCTTTAGTATTCATTGCCCCACATACTGCACTAACACCTTGTGACCTTCTTCTTTGTGAGATCACTGACACAGTTGCACTTGGTTGTGGAAAGCATCGACTTTGTCTACATCACTACAACCGTATTATTTTTTGGGCCTGCTGTCGGCAGGGTTGCCACCTGTATCCGGATTGTGAACATCCTCTACATCCAGATGCAGTATGTCCCATCTGTGCCTGCGGGCGCTATAGCGAATGTGCACTTGACTGTGATGGTGAACGCCCCACAATCGTCATGGCCTGCAACCGGCATGCCCTCTGTCGTGCATGCTTCAGAGGTATGGTTAATGCTAGCCGCCCTGGATCCTGCTGTGACGAAGTTGCTTACCTGAATGGTTTTTGTCCTGTGGATCAGCGAGAGGGCTACTACCATCGCCCACATCCTTATGACAGTTGTCCTATCTGTCGTGAGGGTCTTACTTAGACGTACCTTGCATCCTGACAAAAATGTGCAGGTGCGCTGAAAAGAGTGTACAAGAATGTGCAAAGGTGGGAAACCCTTCACTAAAACTGCAAAACAGTGAAGAATGCAGTAAAAGAAGAACATAAGTTTGTGTCATTTTACTTTGTTTGTATCCTGCACCCTAACACCAAAGGAAAAGTCCGAAGGGTGAAAATGAGAATGAAAAATGAAAAGTGCAGGTGCGCTGAAAACCGAACGTGGTAGACTCTTCACCAAAACCGCAAAACTGTGAAAGAAAGAAGAATGCAGTAAAAGAAAGAAGATATTTTTATTTTATTTTATTTTTTATTTTTTCTCCCTATGCCTATCAGTTTTCTTTTTCTGCTCCTCTCTTCCTTGTGTTTAACACCTCTTCCTTCACTCTGCCTCTTTCCCATAGCGTGCAAGTGGGCTGTTACGGCATACGGGGATGGGGGCAGCTCGCGCTCAACTTCATCGACGTGGCGAGCCTTGTACGTTAGAGGCACGGCGGAGGAGGCGTTAAGAAGACTGAGAAACTGAATGATTTCAACTTGTCTTTGTTTTTATTTTTATCCCTTGTTCAGTTTTTTTTTTTTTTTGTAAAACACTNTAAGAAGACTGAGAAACTGAATGATTTCAACTTGTCTTTGTTTTTATTTTTATCCCTTGTTCAGTTTTTTTTTTTTTTTGTAAAACACTGAAAGAAATAAGAATACAGTGAAACAAAGAATAAGAGGACACTGTTTTGTGTCATTCTGGTTTGTCTGTCTCTTTGCCTGTCTGTCCTTTCATTTTTCTTTTCTTCGCTCATCTTATTTCTTCTTCTGCTTCACGTGCTTACGCTCTTAGTCAATAGTTCTGTGACAATATAGAGCTCAACATACTCAACATGTGCTCAAAACAGGCTGTTTGTATATGTCCATCTGATTCTGTGTGAGTATTTCGACTGATCTTTGCCGTGTTTTTTATGCGGGCGTATAGCCGGCACCACCCGCACCACGGGCGCTAAGCTAGTAGTAATAATAACAATGAAAGAATGAACCAGAGCCAATATCAGAATCCTCTCCATTCAAGAGGTCCACCATAGCCATCTTATACACCTTCTTCCTTCTTGGCTGAGTGGATGGCTATGGTGGACTAATGGAGCAAAGCTTCGATCTTCGAAGGGCAACGCAAAGCTAGTACACCCTATCTCCTATGGCTCCGATGCCCATCTCTACCCCGAAGTCTTCCTTGTAGAGGCCAACCCCAACTGGGGCCTTCCAGCTGCAGCACCAACCAAGAAGACAAAGATGCAGACCACCATAGCTAGGTAAGCACCGCTGCCGTCCTCCTCCTTGCTCACCGTCTTCCTCCTCCTATTCCTTCTTCCCTGGAGTCTCCTCCTTGGTCCCATCCACCATAGCTACGGTGGAGGGCGAAGCCCACCTGCTTCCTCCCCAGTGCTACTACACTGAGCGCTCGCACAAGCAGCGCGTTGCCCAGCTCACGAAGCTGCAAATGAGGGAGAGAACTTTGCTCTTCCTGAAGATATACCGGCCTACTGCCTCGCCGAGCAGTGGCTTTCCAGGCTGCGCGGCCTCCGAAGCTACCGGCACTTTCCCCGTTTCGGAGGGAAACGTCCTTGCAGTCTGATATCCCTCACTGCAGGCCCTAGACTCAGACTACTGGACCAGTACCGGACTGTTAGAGTTCCTTCAGCCTCTAAAGGTATACTAACTTTTTGTCTTCTTCTGCCTGTCTACCTGCTACTTGAGTGTTTTCCATCCTGCGTCGGCCTACCGTCTTCACCCGAATAGAACGCCCGGTCGTTATAGCAATAGGGTACAATTTTGAGTCCAGATACAGCTATAGTGACCGGGCGTTCTATTCGGGTGAAGACGGTAGCCTACTTCTAAGTTCCCGCTGCATCTCCACAACAGTGCCAGGCCCGAGTGACCGGGCGTTCTATTCGGGGGAAGACGGTAGCATACACGTGCCCTGATGAGTCACACCCCCCCCCCCCAAGCAATCATGCATTACTACAAACACACAGAGGAGACTCAGCAATCATGCACTCACACAGAAATCTCAGCAGAATGCGGGAATCTCAGAAAGTCACACAACCCAGCGGCAAAACTCAGAAAACAGCAGAGTTGTTCTTACCTTCTTCCCCCGAATACAACGTACGGTCATTATAGCTGAATTTGAGGCATCTTTCAGTCTAGATACACAGCTATAATGACCGTACGTTATATTCGGGGGAAGAAGGTAGTCTGTGATTTTGCAGGTCATTACGGATGGATGTTCGGCGGATATGGCACACAGTCATTCTAAATAATCTAAACTTAGGGCCCCACTCCACTGCACAACACTCTACATGCATTTGGACGACTTACGAACCAGTTGCATTCGGATCAGTCCAACATTTTGAACGTATCTGGTCCAGAAATCGTCCAAATGCATGTCGAACGTTGTATAGTGGAGCCAGGCCCTTGGCATTTTATTTAGTGATTCGGCAATACCCTCCGCCCCCCCTTTCAACTACGTATCGTAGACCATACCAAGACAGCTCAACTACAGTCTTCACCTTTGGATAGAATGGTGAGTCATTATAGCTGTATATGGGCCAACTTTCAGTCTAGAAACAGGGGATAATGACCGGGCGCTGCTGGGGGGAGGAAAAGGGTCTCTGGGTAGTCCAAAGCATCTCTCATCGGAAAAAAAGAACCGTCCTTTGGGACATCCGTTAGCATGGCCCCAGTGCAAGGATGACACACAAAAATCGACAGATGGTCAGCAACTAAAGAAAGAAAAAAAAAAGGCGCCGGAGTGCGCAAAAAAAAACATGCGGCGGTGAAGAAAACAGCCGCCAAGTTTGGGAAAGCAGTGAAAATACCACGGGCCGTGACAGAAGCACAGGGGTCATAACTACGGGGTTGGACAGCGGTGTCAGACGGGAAAAGAGAAAGGAAGAAAAGGGCCAGCGGATCTATTTCAACGGAAATTGCCCATTTCAAACTCGCGGTGTGATATCTTTGCCGCTCTGTGTTCTTTTTGCCTTTGCGAACTCAAAACCTGCGGAATCCGTACTTGTTTCAAAAAACACAGAAGGGAAGGAAAAAAAAAAAAAAAAAAAAAAAAAAGAGAAAGCAAAGGAAAGAACAGAAGGAAGAATCTAGGCAAAGGCCAGTATTTGACACCACACCAGATGCACTCCATGCAGTTCCTTCACATCACCTTCACTTCTGCCACAGAGTCACAGACTCTTTTATCGGGGCTTGAACTCTTGCTGGCTGGGGTCAATCAGTGCACATACGTACGATTTCAGTCTGCGGACCGGCAATTGATGCCTGCATCGTGTGCCGTCTGCTGACCCCTGCAAGACTAGATCTACGACTTGAGAGGTTTGATGAGGAGGCGAGCCGGAACAGGATTGAGCCCAAGTTTGAGGTATATAATTGAACTTTTGTTTGTGCTTAACCGCCGATGCCCTCATTTTGACACCCCCCAAACAGACAGATAATGGCAGAAGACGCGGTGGGTTCGGTTTGGACCAGTAGCGTCCGGGCGGCGGCGGCGCCTGGAGTGGCCGCAACATCGTTTTTATTGGAGCGACCTCTACCATTGAGTTGTGATCTGCACAGCGGATGTCCTCGACCAGATGCAGAGAACAAAGTTCACCCTGATGGCAATGACAAGGTAAATTGTAGGGTCCACAACTCCAGAGCGGGAAAGCGAGAGACAGGTTTCATGGACAGCGGCGATGGTCCGGACTTTTGAGTGAGTGAAAGAGTGTGTAATACTGTGTATACATTGTTAAGCTGAGTGAGTTGGTTTGCTTCCTCTTTTTTGGCACAGCAGGGCTGAGGAGGAGGGAATGGTCAGTGAGTTGGTTTGCTTCCTCTTTTTGGCACAGCAGGGCTGAGGAAGAGGGAATGGTCATTTGATTTGGGCGAATGGAGTATACTAGCGTAGCTCGGTTGGTACACCCATGAATTGTTGAAATACAGACCCGAGTTCGAATCCCGCGTAATCAGATGAACGGAATAAAATCATTCGGAATTACCTGGGGCTGGTCAGTTCAATGACAATGTCCCAAGGCCGGCGCCCTTCTACAACAAGAGAAGAAAACCGGGAAAAAAAAAAAGATCTTCTCGCATTGTCCACGAAACCATTGTTCACCTTCCCATAAAAAGATAATCAGTCCTTTAAAAAATGGTCATGAAAAGAAATCTGGGCGAAACCCTCGAGAAACATACCCTCTTGGAAAAAAGGCCAGCCAACCGCTGTGGCTGTTAAACGATTCACGCCGCTGACGTCTGTTTCTTGTGCGTGCATTCCGTTGTCAGGAGCTGTGCTTGCGCCACACAACCAATTGCCGGATGGACATGCATTTGTCTGCTCTCCGTTCGTGACCGGCTCTTCTCAGTGCATAGGGCGCTGGCATTGATCGGCGAGTAGCTGCAGGGACTCAACTGCATCACTTCTTTTTCTTGCACTGCTGACAAACAAAACCGCTTCGACGATCTTCCTTCCCAGCTGTGTGTACCGCATCTTTTGAACATCCCGACGCTGACCATCGGCAGCGAGGATGCAGTCGATGGCGAGCCCCCGAAGCTCCGTTCTCGTACGAGGCTCCATCTTCTCGAGTGCAACCTCGACCGCGTGCCAAGAGAGAACCAGCTCCAGCCTGAAAGCTGTGTCACTGCTTCATGGTCAGGCGTTCAAAGCCAGAGTAGATGGCGCAGCGCGGGGAGAGTTTATCCCCACCGTCTATTCGTTGTCTCAAATGCAGCGGTTACTTACATCGACGACACACGTCTCATCTCTGAGGCAGCAGGGGAGCTTAGCACACCCGATTAGGAGAAGGCATGCTGACAACAACAGTAGCAGAGTGAGAGCTGATGCAACTGTCTCGATGGTGGAGAGCGTGTCGAGGGAGGAAAAAGCGACCCAGCCCCTCCGCGAGGTTGTGTCCACACCCAACGCCCCCGCAGCTTTAGGGCCTTACTCTCAGGCCATCAAGGCAAATGGCATGCTTTATGTGTCAGGGTGCCTTGGACTGGACCCGGCAACGATGAAGTTCCCCTCTGAAGACGTGTCGGACCAAGCAGAGCAGCTGATGAAGAACATGGGAGAGATTTTGCGAGCCGGCGGCTCAAGCTTCGATTGTGTGGTAAAGACGACGATTCTGCTCAGCGATCTCAAGGACTTTGGCACTGTCAATGCTATCTATGGAAGATACTTCCAGGACAGCCCTCCTGCGCGGTCAACATTCCAAGTGGCTGCTCTTCCGCTGAATGCGAAACTGGAAATCGAGTGCATTGCGCTTCTCAGCGCGGGTGGCAGCGGCAGGCAGTGAAAAAAAAAAGGAGGTGGCTTGCTCTCTTCCTTCATCTTCACTGCAATTGTGCCGGAGCCAGAGACAAGGCGATTTGGCATACATCGTGCAAAACTGTCGTGTGGTAGGAGGGAGGTGTTGATGCATTGCAGATATCGGGAGTAGCTCAGTCGTGCGTAGTTGTGGGGCCAAGGGAGGCGGGGGTAAAGAGGTCGACAAAGCGGACGAGAACCGGCAGGGCATGTCGCATGTTCTTTAATACAGACGGGTGAAATAAGGTCGACAAAGCGGGACGAGAAACTGCCAAGGCATGTCACATGTTTTTTGGTACACATGGCTGGCACAAGAGTGTGTGACAAATGTATGAAAATGTGCTTGACTGAACAGATGATTTATTGCTGTCAGTCCATTCTTTTGTTCACTCTAGGGACAAGTTTTCGTTGCGAGTGTTCTACCTGTTTTTGAATGCCTATCCCATTAGAGGTGAGTGATTTCCCATTAGAGGCGAGTGATTCTTGTGATGAGCGGCAGGGGGAGGGGGTCGGGCGGGCGAGGGGGGTTGGTGGACAAGCGTGGAGGAGAGCGACTCACCGTATGAGGTGCGAAGAGTTTTGTGTTTCTGACCGACCTGAACACTCTGTCTTGGCTGTGTTTCCTTTCACTGCTTCCCTATCTGTTCAGTACTTCCAGTGACCCAACTCGGTCTTAGCTGTGCTGCTTCTTCTTCTTAATTCTTCGCTGTGCTTCTTCTTCTTCTTCTTCTTCTTCTTTCTTCTTTCTTCTTCTTCTTCTTCTTCTTCTTCTTCTTCTTCTTCTTCTTCTTCTTCTTCTTCTTCTTCTCCTGCTCCTCTTCCTCCTCCCCCTCCTCCTCCTTCCTTAGCCAGATCCGTATGGCCCTAGCTTCTTGGGATCATCTTGTGCTATTGTTTACCTTCTTCCCCTGAACACAACGCACCTTGATCGTAAATGTGATACGCATTGCGCAAACTATCTTTCTGTTCTGGTACAGTCATGATGAGGGTTCCTTGGGCTCTAAGGATTGCACTAGTAGGGGCTGTTGTGTTCACAATGCCTGTGTTTCCTGGCAGTGACATATATTCATCGTGTGGCGATCTGGCTCCTCAGGAAATTGAGGGTTGTCTCAACCTAGAGTCTGCGGAGCTGTCCATACCGTGTGAGTAGGTGATAGGCCTCAGAGATCGCGGCTGTATGTATGTGTTTGCTTTATCACCATGCTGCCTTGCTGTCTTGTTGCTTGACTTGCTGCCTGCTTTCTTTGCCTTGCCGCTTGATTTGCTGGCCCTGTTCCCATCCGTTGGCTCTTCTGGTGCTTGCAGTGTTGCCACGCTAGTTGCCTTGCAGTTTTTGTTCGCCTGCTCGTCGGATTTTCCGCTGCTTGCAGCGTTGCCCTGCTCCATGCCTTGCCGTTCGCCCACCAGCTTGGCGATGCCCTTCCCCCCGCAGGTCTTGCGGCTCAGTCATGGTTTTCTTTCCAGAGACTTGCCACTGGGCATAGTTGGCACACACATACACATGCACACCCACGGACGTAGGTTCACATGTGCATGTGCTTGGACACGTGTATGACTGCGTACATCAAAGCTTACATGAGTGCTTGCCTCCTGAAAGACATTCATGTCCTCATGCATGCACACACGCACACACTTAGACGTGCTCGTTCTTGCGCGGTGTGCAATCAGACAGAGCTTGATGTGAATAAAATTGACAAGCATGCATGCATGCATGCATGCGCTTAGATGTGCTCGTTCTTGCATGCATGCGATCGGACAGAGATTGATGTGAATAAAATTGATAAGTTTGCAGAAAAGGGCAAACGAGCACATGGAGGTTGGACGAGTCCTATAAAAGGTTATTGGTAATTTTGGCCACTTGGTGTACAGGGTAGGAAGACAGCAATAAAAGCAACTTGTTCAGTTCCATGCTAATTAGCAAGTGGAAGTGTTCGCAGCCATACCTCCTCCTTTATAGCCATTTTGTTTACGAACATGAGAGCATGCACTCTCCCATACACACGCACACATGCACGCACTCACACACACACACACACACACACACACACACACACACACACACACACACACACACACACAGAGAGAGAGAGAGAGAGAGAGAGAGAGAGAGAGAGAGAGAGAGAGAGAGAGAGAGAGAGAGAGAGAGAGAGAGAGAGAGAGAGAGAGAGAGAGAGAGAGAGAGAGAGAGAGAGAGAGAGAGAGAGAGAGAGAGAGAGAGAGAGACGTGGTGGGTGGTGGTGTGTCGACGAAGAAGAAGAAGAACGAGAAGAGAGGGGGCGATGAACGCGCAGACCGGAAAGGCGAGAAAGTAACATCTTATGGTTGCTTTTTTTTTTTTTTTTTTTTAAACCGGTAGCAGTGGAAGCGGGAAAACGAGAGAGCAGGGGGATTCAAGCCCCCACCCTTTCCTTAATGGAATCGGGCTGGGTGCTGTTTTGCCCCGGGGCCGTAGAGAAGAGGTCAACCGAGCCCTAAATTTTCAGGATTTTTTCAGGGTCATTATAACAAACGTCCCACACCTTCTACGCCAGACTTGTCACCAGTCCATAGAGTGGACACCAAATAAACCAACAGCAAAAAAAAAATAAAAAAAAAATTGATCAATAACCTTTGGTGGGGCCGTAGCCTGGGCGAGTTGTAAGGTGTCAATCTTGCGGTGAGGCTGAAGGATACTCACCTGGCGCGCTGGACAGCCTTGCTAACTACTTGATGTGCTGCACAGGGGGGTTGGAACCTTGGAGAGAAGCTTCTCTACCACACCGTGTGTCAGGTCCTCGTCTATCTGTGCTCTGAGTAAGACGGTCACTGTAAAGCCTTCGTTCACTAATTGCCTGCTTACATTACCTCCTGTAGTCGCCCTTCCCGGCATACCTCCTACCACACCGTGTGCCGGTCCTCCGCTAGAAGACACGGAAGAGGCTGGTAGCCAGCGGCCAATTTATTGATGGACAACAGAGTGGAATTGGAGGCAATCGTTTTGCTCCCGACCGTGTGTGGATCGTTCGAGCAGATGTTACATTCCCGATGATCATCAGCGGGTGCGCCGCCAGTTGGGCTAGGTGTTAGCAGTAATGGTGTGCTTGTCTTCACGTACCGCACTCGAGTGCGTTCGGCCTTGTCATGTTCATGACCAGCTATGTGCTGTGCACCCCGCGGTAGCGACGTTACTTACCTGATGATCATCAGTGGGTGCACAGGGTCGATCCTGGCCCGCGGTCGGGATCTCAACCGCGGCTGCGGACCGCCGCAGTTGGGTCGTGGCCGTGGGCCTTCGGGGATTTTTCCCCACCGAATATATGTGGGGGGGGGGGGGGGGGGGGGGGGGGGGGATGGGGTTGTAGGGTTTCTGAAACCCTACAAACCCCATATATATTTTTTCCAAACCGCTGATTTTTTGGTATTTTTTTTAAAAAAAAAACTGTAAAAAAAAGAAGATAAGAATGCACAAAAATGTGTGTGTGTGTGTGTGTGTGTGTGTGTGCGGGGAGGGGGGGGGACCCCTCCCCCACCAATCAATCAGTCAATCGATGAATCAATCAATCGAGAAAAAAGTGAAAAGAAAAAAGCGCATGAGTGTGTGTGTGTGTGTGGGGTGGAGGGGGTGAGGGGGGGGCACGACCCATCCCCCACCAATTAATCAATCAATCGATCAATCAATCAATCAATCAATCAATCAATCAATCAATAAAAAAAAAAAAAAAGTGCGCGAGTGTGTGTGTGTGTGAGGGTAGAGGGGGGGGGGGGGCACCCCTCCCCCACCAATCTATCAGTCAATCAATCAATCATTCAATTAATAAATCATTCTTTTTTTCTTTTTTTTTTCGACCCACAACCCCTCCCCCTCTTTCCCAGCACCCCACCCCCAAAATTCGTTCTTCTTTGGCGGGGTTGGGTTGCGCAGCCCCAGTCCACCAACCTCACCCCAAAACACCCCCCCGCCTGGCCGCCACGGCGGCCGCGCGGTCTGCGACCGTGCGGCCACCGTCGGCCGCCGCCCGGTGGGATTCACTGATGAGCCGCCCTCGGCCGCCGCTCGGCGGGATTCACTGATGACCAGGTATCATGACCGTTGATAGCTAGGGTTGCGCAAGAGACGCTTGGATGCATATGCCGAGGGGGAGAGCAATCAAAGTCACTTGACCCGTAAACGTAACTTGACACCTCTCGTGCTGTTAGTCACAGCCATTAGCGCCGGTCTCACAGTCGGTGTGGCCGAGTTGGAGTTGGTATGGGCACTATTTGAGGGCTCTTGAGTCCATCTTCCCTGTTTCCCATCAATGTTCTTTTAGTGTTTGGCTTATCTGTATCTGGCCATGCTTCTGCTCAGATGCGAGAGTGATGGTTAGCGATTGAAATGATTTCCGGGAGTTCGATTGTGGGTTTGTGGAGGCGGCCCGCTACTGGCTGCAAATCGACTACATAGTACAAACTGTGTGGTCATGCTCTAATAGCTGTAGCTTGCTACGGTCCGTGCGAGCTTGCTTTCAGTTGTGACGAGTAGTAGATTGGGAAATCAAGCTGGGACGCCGGACCCGTTTTCCAGCAGGTGATGCTCCCCACCAATAGACGGAGCCTCCCCCCAGGTGCTAGTGGTGTCTGTTCCCAACAGCATCACTAGCACTGGAGGGACTGTGCTTAAAAAAAA